TATATATATATATACATATATATACATACACACACACACATATATATATATATATATATACACACATCCTTACAGTGGTGCCAACTCCACCCTGCAACAGTAAAGTGCTCGTTTTATCCAGGGGGCTCAAATAAATTACATATACTCACCTGATCCCCAGCCCCACCAGGCTGGTAGACTAGTCCATGCGGACTCTTCCTTCCTGGGCTCCGGTGGTCTAAGGACCACTGATTTCATTTTGTCTAAGGGCCATTGACTTGCATTAGACGTGAGGATGCTGAGAGACATTTCATAGCCAGAGTGGAGAAAGGTGAGCACTGACAGCCACGGAACTGAGGATCAGGCGAGTTTATCTTCTTTATTTGAGCCCCCTAGACAAAATGAACACTTAACCCTTGCAGTGCCGAGGTAGCCCCCTCTGTAAGGGTACTTTGTTTTTTAACTTCATGGTGTTCTTTCAAGTAAACCTCTTGCTCACGCTGCACAGGAAAATATCAGGTTCACTTTACATATACGGCAGGTACTGATTATTATACTGCCCAAATAATTTCACACAGACAAGGGGGTGATTGATGTGCATGTTCCGTACAAATAAAAGTGCCTGCAGCCTGATAAATTCCCCCCCTTGTGATATTTTTATCAAAACTGGGACAGAATATGGAGCAGTAACCAATCAGCTTTTCTCTTCAGTTTGTTCAGCTGAGATTTGAAAATGAAAGAGAGAAGTCGATTGGTTGCCATGCACAGCTTCTCCAGATTTTGTCTGCTCCAGTCTTGATAAATTCCCATCATAGTGTTGCCTTGTGGTTTCATAGTTGTACAAAGGCAGCAATCCAATAAAAGGACAAATCAGCACAAGATCCAGGTAATACATGTAAAAGACTCGGTGGATGTGATCTGTAACTACAGCGAGTGGAGACTTGAATGTCCATAGCCTGGCCACAGCTTAACTATAGCGTAGGCCTGGATTGTCTTGGAGCAAACTGTCAGAATCAGAATTTTGCTCTCCGTTATAGGAGCCCCAAAACTAGGGAAGCAGTTGTATGCAATATCTCTTTCAAATAGGAAGCTGAAGGTTGTCCTCATCCCCTCTGGCAATGCTTTGTTGATCAGTGAGGTTGTACATCACATTGATTGCCCAGGAGCCAGACACAGGAGGCTGGAGGGAATGGGGACAATCACTGACAGAACACCGCATGCTTGATTTTGGCCTCCCGGGAAACTCCCATAACAAAGGAGATCTACAGGCACCTCTAGGGCCTGCACCAAATTCTGATGTCAGTCTGCAGAGAGAGAGGCAAGTACTGATTAATGTTATTAAGAAATCTAAACATTTTCCAGTTTTCCCCAGAATTATGAAGAGAGTCAATTCCAGTACCTGAAGGGTTTATTCATAAATGCAATATTACATTCCTGCTACAAATAGTCTCAGTGCAGGCAGAGAAAAGGGAGACTAGGTGGGCTAAGTGAATGGAAACTGCAGTGCAGGAAGTGACATCACAAGCTGTCCAGAAACTGCAGTGTTGTAACAGAGGAAGTGACATCACAGGCTGCCCAGAACATTATGGATTGTAAATATACAAGAGTTGCGGACTTACTCTCAACAGCATGTACTGCACAGAGGAGGCAGGGAGAGAGGAGAGAAAGAATTGCTTAATTACACAATGGTACCAAATCTTATTTACCCGCATGTGGGTAAGGTGAAGAAGGGAAATTCATTTGCCATCATTAGAAACAGAAAATGCATCACATTCAACCAGTGGACAACAAAAAAAGTAAAATAGCAATGATTTATCAGGCATATTCATACCTACAGAGCATAACCCTCTTCACGATAAAGGCATCAACAACATTTAAATAAAAAGGTCATGTGACGTTTATTTAAAGTATTGAAAGCCAAATCCTTTTTCTTTCCTGCCCATTGAGGGACAACCAATTGTAAACCAGTCCAGGATATCCCCTAGTACTACCAGCACGCTTCAGACTTTTGCTAGTGTCCTAGGAGGATGGAATTGTATCCAAAGCCAAACCCTTTGTTTTTTTTCGGAGACAGCCTGACCAGGAATGTTTGGACATAGGAGGGATTATCAGGGCCTACTCTTCTCCAACCTTCCATCCCCTTCTCCCCTATCCTCCTTACCCTCTGACACCTCCCCCTTTTCTAGCTCGCTAATAGCCCTGAATATAATTCCCCCTTTTTTTTTTCTCTCTCCTCCCCCCCTCCACTAAGTTAACTTCCTAAAATTAGCCCTGTCATACCTGTACAGCTCTGAACGCCCTCTTAGGCCTGCAACATAACCATAGACTGACCTCGCTGGGGTCCCCAAGCTCAGTCACCTCAAAAGACATTATTACAACTTTTTAGAAACGCTCGGGCTTCAACGCCATGCAAGCACCGCTCTTGCCTCTTAGGGCTTAATAGTGGAACGGGCTAGCTGTACACAAGGCTACTCCCTACAATGTATATCACGGCTTGTTCCCTGGAACCCCTCCTCTCCATCCCCACCTAAACTCATGACTTCACTTTGTGTATATTCTACTGTTTGCTATACTTGATTATTGTCTGTAACTTTGACATGTATAATGACAATAAAAATTTACTTGTGAAAAAAAAACTGTCAGGTTTTTTATTGCCGTTTTTGTCCTTCATGGAGAGATATTGAACTCTGTGTCCTGGTAAACAATGTCAGTGGGACAGAAAGTAGTGGGAAATGTTGCCGTTGTCACTGGAATAGGAACAGAGTGGAAATCCTTTAATGGAACACCTGCTTGGGTGTCAACTGCTGAAGAGGAAATTTATCCTCATTTTAGAGTGAATTCTCTCACTTTATGCATCTCTAGGTCAGGAAGTGAAGGGAAATCTCCCTAATGGGAGCATAAGACCAGAAAAGGAGCGTAACCAAACTGCACTCTAACAGGATTATTCACAAAAAGGGTGAAGGGTTTGGAGAAGGCAACAATCTAGGACCGTGGTTCTCAACATGTTCAGTGGGTCCCCGCGTGCCATTCACTTTTCTAGGTGAGAGGCCCCTCAGCCTTCCTCTAGCTCAGCACTGTCTGTTCTCACGCCAAGCAGCCATTCAAAGTATGCTCCTTGGTGCCGTGTCGCCCCGGGCTGCACATTTGAATGACAACCTCCCTCTCCTGAAGAAGCGCCCCTAAGCGCGAAACGTTGAGAGAAAACTAGGCTCCTCCTCTGTTAAACCTTCAATAACGCTGTATCATGTCAAATTACCAACAATCATGTCTCTGTTAAGTCTGATTATCTAATCAGGTTAATTATGCCTAATCATGGCTTTCTACTATCATGCATTGTAATTCTATCAATCATGTTATTCACATATATTGAAGGACAGAACAGAAATGGAGTGAGATTTTCAGGGAGATATACAATCATGTTGTCATTTTTTACATTTTTTTTCTTGGTGGGGGGGCCTGGGGGGGCCCAAGAAAATGTTTGCCCAGGGTCCGATCAATATTAAAGATGGGCCTGGTCGTTCTCAACATGTTCAGTGGGTCCCCGCGTGCCATTCACTTTTCTAGGTGAGAGGCCCCTCAGCCTTCCTCTAGCTCAGCACTGTCTGTTCTCACGCCAAGCAGCCATTCAAAATATGCTCCTTGGTGCCGAGTGCCAGCTTGAGGTGGGGTGGGCTGGGGGTATGGTATGTCCGCGAGGGCACTACATCCAATACGTGCATTTCTTACAGCTCACTCGCATATCCTATAGAGGTGTCTGGACTGACATCACAATCTGTCTCCCCAGAACCTCTACAGGGTGAGCAGGGAAGCTGTACAAGTGGATGCACATATGGATGGAGCTTCATACCAGCACAGCAGCCCACACTGTGTTCCATTGTAGTGCAACTTGGGTCACGACTTAATGACCAATGTGGAAATCCTTTAATGGAACACCTGCTTGGGTGTCAACTGCTGAAGAGGAAATTTATCCTCATTTTAGAGTGAATTCTCTCACTTTATGCATCTCTAGGTCAGGAAGTGAAGGGAAATCTCCCTAATGGGAGCATAAGACCTGAAAAGGAGCGTAACCAAACTGCACTCTAACAGGATTATTCACAAAAAGGGTGAAGGGTTTGGAGAAGGCAACAATCTAGGACCGTGGTTCTCAACATGTTCAGTGGGTCCCCGCGTGCCATTCACTTTTCTAGGTGAGAGGCCCCTCAGCCTTCCTCTAGCTCAGCACTGTCTGTTCTCACGCCAAGCAGCCATTCAAAATATGCTCCTTGGTGCCGAGTGCCAGCTTGAGGTGGGGTGGGCTGGGGGTATGGTATGTCCGCGAGGGCACTACATCCAATACGTGCATTTCTTACAGCTCACTCGCATATCCTATAGAGGTGTCTGGACTGACATCACAATCTGTCTCCCCAGAACCTCTACAGGGTGAGCAGGGAAGCTGTACAAGTGGATGCACATATGGATGGAGCTTCATACCAGCACAGCAGCCCACACTGTGTTCCATTGTAGTGCAACTTGGGTCACGACTTAATGACCAAGGACAAATGTAGGTCCTGAGGTTACACAGGTTGAGAACCACGGATCTAGGACAACATAGCTGAACTGGAAAGTGAGCTGAATTGGAGAATTTTTCCAAATCAGCTATGCTGTCCTAGATTGTTCACTTCTCTTGTCTTCTCCAAACCCTTCACCCTTTTGTTCCAATGGAACACACACACACACCGTTTCATAGCCAGTATACCACTCTGCATCGAGGAGGAATGACAAACAAATTAAAATAAACTGCAATAAGTTTGAGTGTCAGAGGCAGAGCAGATGAGACTAAGGACCAGCCATTTTTAAATAGAATTAGGGCATTTCTAAATCCAGGAATCCGTACAACTCGCAGCCCTCATTTTTCTGCTCCTGCATCTTCTGACTGAAGCCCTCCCGTTTACACTGCTCTATGGAATCTGGCGTCTTGAATGCCCACCCCTTCCGGCGATAGGCCTCCCGCACATCATCACATGTATTACAACACCTGCAGAGGTCCAGAGGACATTAAATGGGTAACGATGGGCAAAAATAAAAACACAATACTTTTCACTATAGTGATCAAACACCAGTCAAGGAACAGTAAAGATGGCCATACACTGTAATATTCGGCCCGCAGGCTGAACAAAAAAAGAAAACAATACAAAAAGCGTGGATGGAGGAATCTACAGCAATGTCCTTTGTATTCTGACAGACTTGAACAGTGACAACAGCCGTTTGGCTGGTGTCACTGTTCACCCATTTTCTGATCAGAAGGGTGCCAACAGGGGCACCAACTGTGTGAATTCCGCACAGTGTATGGCCAGTTTAACCAGACCACCTTGGCCAACCTTGAAGTAAGTACCTTATATCTTCAGTCTCTGCACCAAAGCAGCTTTCGCAACGACTAGGATCTAAAGTTTTGGGGTCAAACACTACATGCTCCTCTGATTTTCCTAGATCTGCAAAATATAATGTAAAATAAAACTGTTGTTAGCTTTCACAGAAAACATAATTTCCAAGTTTAAGCAAGTGCAAGTAACCACAATGGACAACTTAATGTCGCATACTGAGGACAGCGCACGTGACGGTCATTGAGGGGTATTTACTAAGACTGGCCCAGACAGAACCTGGATCAGCTGTACTTGGCAATCAAACAGCTTCTTTCTTCAGCTTGTGCAGTGAAGCTTAGAAAATGAAAGCTAGAAGGTGATTGGTTGTCGTGTAGACCTGCTCCAGATTTTGTCTGGGCCAGTATTAGCAATTTCACCTCATTGTGTTTAGCTGCAACTCCAGCAATAAACATCATGTAATAAATTAACATGTGGATTATATGCACTAAATGGTCAAACGTTTGCTGACAACGCTCCAAATCACTGAGCAGGCATTTTCAGTCAGGGGTAGTGGTAATGCTACAGCATACAAAGAGAATAAGATAGTTGTGCACTGTTATCTTTGTGGTAACAGTTTTGAACCCTTTACTGTTCCAGCATAATCCTATACACACAGCCAGCTCTATAAATGTCTTTTTACTGTGGCCCTATTATATTGTCTCAGACTGTATATATGTTAACGTATGGGTCAGCATGGGCTCAAAAGAGAGAATCTCCTGCGCCTGGAGCCTCGTACCAAAAATGACACACTGTGGCTAATGCATTAAAAAAGTTTATTTCATCTGCACGATTGGGCATTCAAAGCAAACACAGACACAATTTACAGAGTAATGATTCTCATCTCCTTTAGTACAAAAAGCCCAATATCAGCCCTGAGAAATATTGTAGAATAATGCCAAAAAGGAGGCCACAAGGTTTTTTTTCCCCAGACCGTGCAGACTATCTGGGACCTCTGTGGAAGATACTCCAGGGACTGGATTTTAAAGAGTGTCTGCTTTTTAGGAAGATTGATGGATTGCATACTTATTTTAGGAGACCGATTCCCTTTAAATATTTTGGAACGAAAAGGGACAAAGTAATTAGCGAATGATTCCTAGATGTCTTAGTACCATAACACATACCATGCCTTTCTGCTTCTGATGATATGGGTTTCCCATCATTTCCCAATCGTTGTTTCAACAGATTGTGCTCGACATCCAGTTGCTGCTCCCCAGCTACATCCATGGCATCTATGCTCAGATCTACAAAGCAAAAAGCAGAGGACAATGTTACATAGAAACATAGAAGAGTGACGGCAGAAAAATACCAAGTGGTCCATCAAGTCTGCCTCCTTTTTTCTGAAACTTTGGTCACTATTGTGGAAACATCTGCAGTGAAACTTACTTTAAAAATAAATAAAAACTTCTGTGCCTCTTTCTGATTTAGCTGTACTTTGTCCCTGGGGTCTAGCCGACCATACACTACACATCTGATAGTAGATCTAAAGGAGACTGTACAATCAACTATGTAGTTCAAGGGCTTGTCTGACTGGATACAAAATGAGTCAATAGTTTAGGTGGACCCTCATATTACAAATTTATGGTAACTTTAAAAGGAGTTGTACCATCAGATTGTATAGTATATGGCGCATTTAACTTTATCTGACTTCATGCCAAAGCTCCAACAACTGCCATTCTCCTATCCAATGAGAATGCCTTCACTGGCCACTGAGATGGCCTCCCAAGACGCAGACAACGGACTGGCCTCAGTCAAGACTTCAGTATCTGGTGGCTCCTACTTAGTCCTTTTACCCGGTTATATTAAAGTGAACCTGTGCACCATTTGGGGCTCATTCACATGGGCGTTAAAAACTCTGCATACAAATGTGCACAGCATATAGTTTTGTACACATCTGTACGCAGCATAGAAGGCTATGGGCCCATTCGACCAGCAGTGCCTGGGCAAGGTAATGCTGCTCTATGTTCAGCAGCGTAAAAAAAAAAAAAAAAAAGCAGCGTACTTGTTCTGGATCAGCTGCAGTATGACAGCCAGGGAACAAACATTCACAAAAGGAGAGCTCAGCAATGGCATACTTTACTACTCTTACACGAGTGTCCCTTTAGTCAGGTTCTTGTCACTTCAAAGCATTCAAAAAAAAAAATCTCCATAACTGCAAAGAGCGCCTGTTAAAAAGGAGAACTATGGGGTAAGTGTTTTTCCTCATAGTTCTCCTAAGGGTCACGGGAGGACATAAGCTAGCGTCCTCCTGTGACCCAAAGCTCAGTATATAGCGAGCTACAGCTCGTGGCATACTGAGACCGCCGCAGCCAGGACGGATCCCAACAATTATGTCTGGATCCACCCAGCTGCGTGAGTGACAGTTGGTTCTGCCTATCTAGATGCAGAGCCAGCTGTACCGCCCCCCTCCCCCGTCCGATCCGCCAGTCAGCGCTGGAGGATCAGACAGGGGAATCCCTGCAGGGAGCCGTGAGTCACGGCTCTCTGCAGCGACATGATCGAGAAGTGAGCGAGCGACGGTATGCGTTCGCTCACTTCCCGATCTATTGAGCCGACGTGTGACAGCTTAATTGTCACACGTCGGCTCGAATCAAGAGGTTGAGTTAAAATATCACTCACCTCATAGTTCTTCTTTAATCCTGCCAGAAATCTTGTGAGCCAATAAATTCCTGCCTGCTGTATGCTTATCAGTTAACTTTGTTCCCAGCTATCTTTGTGAACTATAGAAGGAGCGTGGGCTGTCAACCTTAAACAGGAAATAGGTTAGAGGAAAAAAGGAAAATGCAGCCACCACATTGTAGTAGTAACCCCTATAAGGACTAGTAACAGTCTTTAACGCCTGCCATGATTTGTTATGCAGTAATGATTATAGGAGAGATTGTTCTCATCAGGAACTTTGGTGGGGAGATTTTGCTTTGGGACTCCTAAGAAGAGGTCAGTAAGGGCCCGTTCACACATAGTCCGGTGACCAGCATTTTATCTGTACCAGATCACCGCAGGTCACATCACAACAAGTGTGTGATGGAAGGTGCACTGCAATACAACGTACACTTGCTGGAGTTCTCACGACGCACTAGCCGTCCTCTAAAATGCAGCATTTCAGCAGATGGGCTAATGTGAACCGGCCCCAAGCCAATGAAGTACCCAACTTTCACCCAGAACAATATACGGATCAGCAACCCAAATCTTTTCATTTAAGCAAAACTTCCACAGCAGAGTAAAGCCTACTCACAAGCACAAGGCATATATGGAAATACAATATCAATATTGATCTTTAACTTGTCTCCTCTGGATTTATCGACAAATAGTTCAGGATATACCTATGAAATAAAAAAATGAAGATTCAGAAAATCACAAAGGCAATTCTGATAACAATTTAATACACTGAAGACATTCTGATAGAATAACAGATCTAAGGTCCAGATAAGCAGGTAATAAAACTGTTACAGGGGGACTGCAAAAAATAAAAACGGTTAATGCATGCGAGAGCTCTCCCAAAGAGCACACCTGTTTCAGCAGTATCAGCCAATGGTTGGTTCGCCACCTACTTTTAAGGGATTTTCTCACACTTCCTGTTGTGCCACTGTGTAGGAAGCGAGGGGAAATCTCCCCAATGTGGAAACAGGGAGCAATAAAAACTTGTCAGATGATCCGAATCTGCCTCCCTCTATCCAAAATGTTTTTTTTTTAAATGGCTGGAGTTCTACTTTAAAACACAAATACATTAATATAAGGGTCACCTCCTAATCTTCACAGCGTTCTTTACTATTAAAAGGAGAACTATGAGGTGAGTGCTTTTCACTCACCTCATAGTTCTAGCGGACCTGTGACAATGAGACTGTCACAGGTCGGCTCAGTAGATCGGGAGGTGAGCGAACACATACCGGGTTCGCTCGCCTCTCGATCCTGTCACGGCTCTCTGCCGTGACGGGGAGGGGCTGGATTCCCCTCTCCGATCTGCCAGCGCTGACTGGCGGAACGGACGGGGGAGGGTACAGCTGGCTCTGCCTCTAGATAGGCAGAGCCAGCTGTCACTCACGCAGCTGGGCGGATCCCGTCATCTACGTCGGGATCCGCTCCGGCGTCTCAGTATACCGGGAGCCGTAGCTTGCGGTATACTGAGCTTAGGGTAACGGGAGGACGCTAGTTTGTGTCCTCCCGTTACCCTGAGAACTATGGGGAAAACACTGACCCCATAGTTCTCCTTTAAACTACAGAAGTGTTTAAAAACCGTCCAAAGCCAGCATTTGACTATAGAGCAATCAACTTCGTATTAAGAATAGGTGTGGACAAATCCATATGGAATTCAGGAGCCAGTCTGCCCAATTCAGGAGCCAGCAGGATTTGTTTTACAGCAACCATAGACAACATCAAAAGTTAGGCGTCAGCTGAATTTTTTACGGCGCATTGGCGACCTGCCTCCTAGGATTTCTCTAGCCCCCATTAATCAGTACATATAAAAAGTTGGCCACTGCCCACTACAGCTAACAGTGACACTCAGACTTGCTCCTGGAAAAAGGCAGAATGTAAATGGTCGATTGTTGATGGTGGGGTAAAACTGACTCAAGTGCATACACCTTATGGCCCCTGGAAGTACCTGCGCAAGTCTTCAAATCGTTCCCTGCTGAGTCCCCCTTGGATCCTAAGTCCAAGATGTACACAGAGCCTAAGCCTCACTCCTGTAATTCAATGGTTAAATGGCAGAAGTCTAATAGAAACTATGACGCTGCTTCTTTTTTTTTTTTACAGCTGAATGATGGCATGTCCCTTTAAGCCCAACCTTGGGCAATTTTTTTTGCAGGTCCTCCAGCAGTAGGTAGAATAAAAAAGCAGCTCCGACTGCAATACCCACCCTTCCAGTGCAGTCTCTAACATTTGTCACCAGATGATCACAGTCATTGGGGTTGAGTGACACCCACCATCACTCAACCCAGAAGACTTAGGACATACTGTGAGTGCAGGGTGTCATGGACCCGTTCTCTGAGATTGCACCATCATGGTGCCCTACACTCACAATATAATGAGTGCATCCCGATGCTGTTCTCTGCATTGAGGACCACACAGTCCTGGAGAAGACGTGAAAAGGAAGAGCATGGCATGTCATCTGCCTGAACACAACTGAAAAAAAAGCATCAAATACATGGGGTGTGGTGTGGGGAGACGGTCTTAGAGATAGCCCGCTGTTGGGCTTTAATCTAGAATAGTGGACTCTGTGTACCATCTGGGCTACCAGAAGTTCTAAATGGACACAGGGATTGCTTTAAAGTTTAACAGGTACTTGCAGGCACCACATCAGCACTGTCACCTAAAGAGTTAATCCCTTACTGCTTATCCTGCTGGCTACAATGAAAAGTACACAGACTCTGCTCCTTTTAGGTTACCTCATGTTTATTCTGGAAAAAGGTCACATTATTTAAGCCACCAGAAATATGCAGTAAATGACAATCACAAACTTACCTCTTTAGTGAGAAAATACTGGAGCTCAGAGAAAAACAAAATCAGCATTATAAGACCACTAATCACGGTAACTGGAAAGAAAGAATAAAATTCAGTTAACAATGACAAATCAGTGCACACATATGATACAATACCAACATTCTGACTCCAGGCTCTCAGGAAATCATGACTTAGGCAACGCATATGAACTGGCAAAGAAAAACTAGGAGACAAACTCTTTGGCATTCTATCCAATTGGAATCATTACCAAAGAGCACTTCTAGCGTATCTATAGACAAAACCTTTTTTTCTTTTCTTAGCTTTTTAGTTTTGGGAGTAGGGATTGGAACAGGTACAGATGCGGTTTGTGCCCCTATCAGGACATCATTTACCTAGATGCCCACAGTCATAATAGGCACATGTAATTGACCAAATATCAGCAGCAGCTTGGTAATGATTTTTTCTTTTTTTTTTTTTTTTTACACGGCTCCTGGCTTTTACATACAAGTGATCTAGGCATCTTTGCAGCCACCTGATCCCTTGTAAGGGCCTAAAGGTGTGCTGCTCCAGTTCCGTTTCATGCTGTCACTCCTCCAGCCACTGTGGACAGAGAACAAGCTGGTGAAGCACAATGTGAGCTTCATCAGCTTCAGTGCGGTCCATAGGTAATGTTAGGGGTCTAACAGACCTCTGGCATCTCAATAAAGGGGACTTTTCACTTCCATTATGCCGTCACATAGGGGGTCGTGTTAGGTTGCACCATCAAATCTCAGCATATTCATCTTCCAAACATCCACCTTGACAGCTTCCCTTTAAATCAAGTTCCTTCTCTCTGCTCAGCACTTCTGTTTCTTGTAGCTTATGGAAAGTAGATGGTTAACTTCCACATCATTGTTTAAAGATTTATGGTTCACTGACCGTCTGTTTGCTGTGTGTGTAAGAGTATTGTCATATCACCTCTCTATATCCTAAAGCAGCTCTGGAAACAGAACGTTTGGTTGATACTCCTCACTGCCACAACCAACCTAAAACAGGGAGCGCTTTGTAATTCAACAACTACAAAGAGTGAGGACAATTTGTAGAGAGCAGATACAACTGTCATGGCCAAAAACAACTAGAGGAACTCTGCTGCCAGCAAAAAGAAAAATGGCCCTTGTAAAAGATATCAAAACCTAACAGGAAAAATTTAATATATTGAAGCTTACCAGCCCGCAGATGAGGTGGCTGCATTAGTTTTCTTCTTTCAGGCTAAGAACAAGTACCAAGTGCAAGTACAGAAAATACCTGTGTATCTTACTGGAATTGAAGCATCCTTGCAAAGTCAGGTGTAACACATGTCTTTTTTCTGTTCAAACCATTTAGAACAGATTAGGAAAGTGGAAGGATTGTGGATGGAAGAATTCCCTGCTGTTTCCTTTGTATTCTGACAGAGGATGCCAGCCGGTGTAAGAATACCTGAACAGAGCTTGCAGCCCATTGGCTGCAAACTCTGTTTGGCCGAAATGTTTCCAACATGTACCTTTGGCAGAAGTTGATCTAAGGATCGACTACTGCTAAAGGAATAGGGCGACCAATGGAGTAAATTTCAGCTAATTCCTGATGAATCAGCCGAAATTTGGTATGTGTGTACCCCAATTAACTTTTTGTGTACTGAACTGATAAATCAAACAATGCTATCAGTAGTAGTCAAGCTGGCCATAGACTTGCCTCTTCTGCAGGGTGGACAGTGAAAACTAGCATCTACACATTCGGGCGAGTTGGTGTTTTGGATGCCTGATCCCCTACTACACTTTGGCTTCTCCTGGGGGCTGCTCTGTCAATACTGTATTCTGTAGCAAAGTAATGGCTAGTGGGAAGAAACGAAGAGCACAGCAGGGGAGCAGGTATTCAACACATCCAAAATGTTTTTGGATTTGTAATGCTCCTCCTGGCACCGGAGGTCAGAAGCTATAGCTAGTGGGTGTGTATTCTGCATATAGAAACCCCTGTTCACATAAGGCAAGCAGGCGTAGCAATACTTGGTTGCCTCCAGGTCTTGGTTTCCAAAGCTGTAGTTCTGACCTGGTGGCACCAGGGACTGAGTGAATGTAGCAGATAGAGCACCTGTGATCTTTGGAAGCGGCAGTCTTTAGCCAAAGTGTCCCCAGAGGGTCTCTGTAAGATGGGCCAGTGGTTGATGGTGGTCTGGGCAGATGGCAGCATAAACCAAAGACAGTCCGAGGGCAGGTGGCAGATATACGTAATCCAGAGAGAGACGATCTGAGGTCAGGGCAGGTGGCAGATATACGTAATCCAGAGAGACGATCTGAGGTCAGGGCAGGTGGCAGATATACGTAATCCAGAGAGACGATCTGAGGTCAGGGCCGGCGGCAGACATACGTAATCCAGAGAGACGATCTGAGGTCAGGGCCGGTGGCAGCTATACGTAATCCAGAGAGACGATCTGAGGTCAGGGCCGGTGGCAGCTATACGTAATCCAGAGAGATTATCTGAGGTCAGGGCAGGTGGCATACAAATGTAATCCAGAGAAACTGCCCAAGATCAAGGCAGGGTCAGAGATAGGGTATCCAAGACAAGGCAAATGAGGGTACTGAAGCACAGGACGGTATCACAAGCAGTGAGGCAGAGGTAAGTGATGATTAATTATAGTGCCTCCTAAAACAAGACCAATCCCTAAGCTGTGGCGTGTGACCAGATTCATTAGGCCACAGCTGACTTGGACAGAACTGCAGCCAGCAAGACACAGGCTGCCTAACATGTGCATAGTCCACAGTGTGGAGTCTCTGCCCGCCAGAGAATTACTTGAAGTGAACCTGGGAAAGGTAACCTGATACCTGCATGTGCCTACATCAGTCTTCATACCTAGCCCTGTATTTCTGTGGATCCCCTTGGACCAGTCCAGTAAGGTATATGGGTGGTGCAGTATATACAGTATGTCAGTTGGTGTAGTCTACAGTGTAAGTTTCCAATACTTGAGGTATCATGTATACGGGGGGTGAGGTGTATGGAAGGTGTCTATACTATGAGATTATGTAAATTGCTGTAAGTACAGAATGTGCCAGATGATTATATGAGAACTGTGTGTATAAGCAGCACACACAGCATGCCACATGACACATGCAGATCATCGGGCATGCAACAGCTGCAGCACATGGAGATCAACAGTTAGACATGCAGCCAGGTGTGGTGCACACAGCTCGTTAGTTATGTCTGTGTCAGGTGGGACACACGTAGGCACCGGATAGAGAAAGTGCACACTGTTAATTAGGCACAAGCACCCAACAATTAAGGTGCCCATACACCTTACAACCATCGCAAGACTTTTGTCTTGCGATGGTTGCAAGCTAATTAAAATCTCGTACGATCTGCCCATCTTGGACAGGCAGATCGTACTTGCGATCATCGAAAGCGCGCCCTGCTGAGGGGTGGGCTTCCAATGACTGCAATGCTGAACAGGCAGTGTGCGCTTGCGCACCCCGGCCCGTTCGGCATTTGTCTTACGAGCATGCCACAAACCCGCCGACAATCGTACGATTCTCAGCGGGTTTTGAAACATGCTCGTTAGACAAAAGACGTACGTAGAGTAGAAACGGTCGCACGCCTTCCATACACCTGCCGATTATCGTACGATCGCGGTATTCCCGGGTGTATGGCACCTTTATACATGGAGATCATCAGGCATGTGTCAGGTGCGGTACATGCAGCATGCCGTGAATGGTAGGTGTGGTATATACAATGGGGAATTTAGCAAAAGTGGAGCAGACAAAATCTGGAGTAGCTATTCCCTGTGGTCCCCCCCTGCAGTCTCCTATTGAAACCTCTCATTAAATGTCTGCAGTCTCTGAGAGCTTTCTGTAGCATTACATTTACTGAATACTATGTGTGGCCCTTTGATTATGTCAGGGGCCCCAATTGAGGCCCCTTATATCAAGAAATGTAACCACCACAGCTCTATACAGAATGTGCATGAGGACAGGTTTTTGTCATGGAGTCCTCTATACACCTCAGTCCCTCATATACAGTTCTGATACAAGACACGGGGACACCACTTAGCAGCCATGCCTGTCCCTGGCAGTGAGTGACATCTGGCAGCACTAAGCATTGTGGGTAATGTCACCGCCATACAGGTCAGTGCACGGCTCTCCCCCTCACCTACAGCCCCGCCGCACGTCTTCACTCGGAAGTCCTCCAGGGTCTTGGGATAGGCATCAAACTGTCGAAGCCGGTGCAGAGCCTCCATCTTCCCGACCGGAAGTCCAGTCAGTCACCTCAGCACTTCCGGGGTCCATTTACGATATGGCCTAATCTCATTGGCTGAGCTGAGAGCTAATAGGAGCTCGTTACGGCACGGAAAACATTCGCATGCGCAATGCAGCGGCAGTGTGGGGAGCGAGTTGTGTCAGCGCGCCACCTAGCGGCTGAGAGATCCATTACAATCCTGCAGATAGAAAGTTTTGGGACGTTGAGCACACAGGTCAGCAGTTCTGAAGTCACTCCTTAGGAAGGAATGAGCAGAGCACACATATTAATTCTGTCTATGATCAGAAATTCCAGATCTGCACACCCCTATGCAGAGGAGTTTAACATACACTTGCCATGGTTTAACATGGACTTTCATGGAAGAATAATAGCAAAGCACAAACTGAACATGAAGTGAATGCAAATACAAAACTCTTTTTAAAGTTTTGGCTAGAGAAGGGTAAAAAAAAAACCCATGTCAGCTTTTTTTTCTTTTTTGCAGTGTTGCATCAGGAAATTTCCCTTCACTTCCTCTCCCAGAGATACAACAGCAAACTACAGCAAATCTCTCCATAGCGAGGGGAAATCCCTTGCTCATGCACACAGCTGCTAGAGGTCCGCACAACATACATGTGGCTGTATTCTCCACCCGGGGGTCACAGGTACAATCCAATAATAAACTGACAATCCAATAAGAAACAAATCCAATAATAGACTGACAGAGGCTACAGCTGTACATACCGTGTTTCCCCGAAAATAAGACAGTGTCTTATTTTTTTTTTTTTGCACGAAATAAGACACTAGGTCTTATTTTCGGGGGATGTCTTACTTGGCTGGGGGAGGAGTGGACGAGGTCCCGGAAGGCGGCGTGCTGTTGCCGGTCCCAGCGGATGTCGCTTCCATTGTGCGTGTGTGCGTGCGGGAGCTGCGGCTGGCGTGTGGGCGGGGCAGGAGCTGCGTGCGTGCGGGCGTGAGCTGCGGCCGGTGGGCGTGTGGGCGGGGCTGGAGCTGCGGCAGGCTGGCGTGTGGGCGGGCGTGTGGGCGGGGCGGGAGCTGCGGCCGGGTTTTACACAGTTATGTGCCGCTTCCCCGAAAGTAAGACCTAGCGGATCTCTGTAATATAAGACCTACCACCGAACTAGGTCTTATTTTCGGGGTAGGTCTTATATTACAGAAATCCCTGAAGATAGTGCTAGGTCTTATTTTCGGTGTAGGTCTTACTTTCGGGGAAACACGGTATATATTACACACATCCGAGCGGCACCTGCACACAGGGACGTATGTGCTGCCCTGAAGGCAGGCAGGGTGCGGCGTTTAAAAAAAAGTGTGTGTTATGTTTGCCGTCTCTGGCCATCTCTTGTAGTATGTCTGTAGTCAGTGGGGTCACAAGGGGAGGTGTGGCCCGCACCCAGGTGACACCATTGGAAGGGTGACACCAAAATGACGAACAGTCATTTTGGTGTCACCCCCTCTGAAAAGTCGGGCACTCATTCATGGACCGAGAGCCCGGCAGTTGCAGGAGAGAGGAGGGGACCCGGTAGGATACCTAATGCCGCCGGATGAACGTCCCCTCCTCTTTCTGCCGGTGTCCATCACCAAGATAGCCCCCGGGAGGTATCACTAAGATGGCCGCGAATGCGCAATAATGTAATTGCGCATGTGCGTGGTGATGTCGTGCGTATGCGCTATGACATCACGGCGTGGTTTCATGTAGCGTCTGCTCAGGATGACACCTGGCCTCGGGACACCCCTGTCTGTAGTCTCTGTCCATCTCTTGCAATATGTCTGGAGTCCCTGACCATCTCCTGTAATATGTCTGCAGTCTCTCCGACCATCTCCTGTAGTATGTCTGCAGTCTGTGACCATCTCCTGTAATATGTCTGCAGTCTCCGACCATCTCCTGTAGTATGTCTGCAGTCTCTGACCATCTACTGTAATATGTCTGCAGTCTCCGACCATCTCCTGTAGTAAGTCTGCAGTCTCTGACCATCTACTGTAATATGTCTGCAGTCTCCGACCATCTCCTGTAGTATGTCTGCAGTCTCTGACCGTCTACTGTAATATGTATGCAGTCTCTGACCATCTACTGTAGTATGTCTGCAGTTTTTGACCATCTCCCGTAGTATGTCTGCAGTCTCCGACCATCTCCTGTAGTATGTCTGCAGTTTTCGACCATCTCCTGTAGTATCTCTGCAATCTCTGATCATCTTCTATAGTATGTCCGCAGTCTCTGACCATTTCTTGTAGTATGTCCGCAGTCTCCGACCATCTCCTGTAGTTTGTGTGCAGCCACCTTTACCTCCCTACCTGCATCCAAGTGCAGGCACCCGACCAAGACCCACACAGATGAGTAGGTTCAGGTCTGTGTGTAACCGCGTGCATCTGCGTTCTCCCATAGGAGGGTACAGGTGGCTGCACACAATTACACCCAGCGCCTATCCCTCCCGGGAGCAGGTCTCTGCACAGTTGCCGTACGGATGTTCACACCTGTGTGAAGGAACCTTTAGAGTTCATGTAAAATTACATACACATCCAAAACGTTCCTGTCCACAGGATGACAACACTGCTGAGGGATGTCATTGCAGAACAAACAGTGTTAAAGGCTCATTCTACCTCTTGTACTATGTTGCATGTAACAAGTATATTTAGGGTGTAACATGGAACATAGTGGCCCCCCCACCCACCCTCGACCCACCCCCACTTACCTTAAAGTGACACTAAACTCAGGAGTTTAATCTTAAAAATGCATTCAAGTACCTTAACTATTAACAATACTGGAGCTTATTTGTGTATCACTCGGCTGTAGATCCTCCAATCATCTCTGAATTGGTGCTGACACTGTCCTTCCTTCTGGAGGGTGGCTACGTTTGTTCCCCATGGTCCCTGTGTGTGTTGAGAAGTAGTACACGCTCCAAGCTCACTCCCGTGATGGGCTACAATCTCAATACAAATGAGTAAACTAAACATGAGATTGTAGCCCATCGCTGGAGCTAGCTATGGCAGCATCGGCATGCAAACAAACTTTTGTTTGCTTTAGCAGCCGGGATTTTGTTTACATTTTTTTCTTGTGGCTATCAGCTATGTGGTACAAGTTATTTGCCTGCCCAATCATTTTTATATCTGCGTGAAGGAGCTGCCCCCCTTCCCCGCCATGTGTACTGTACTTACCTGTTCCTTCTGGGTGCCCAGGACCTCCCTATTGGATGTCAGGAACTTCTGATCTTCCCTGTGATTAGTGACTGTGGTTATACAGCTTTGAACCCAGAAGTGCTCAGAGCTGAGGCATTCTGGGTTCAAAGCTGCATAACCACAGCTGCTCTTGCTGGGAAAGAAGCAGATTATATGGCCAAAATGCTGCAAAATCTTTCTCACCAGCAAGAAAGCAGCAGTGGGGAGATGCTTCGCTGGTTCAGGCAGTGAAGGAGCAAAGCCATAGAAGCAGGTGAGGGATATTTTTATTCTCCTCGCAATTTTTTTTGCTGGTGAGTTTCTGCCAGCAACAGGATTGCTAATGTGGACCTTAACCTATCCAGGAATTTAAGACTAAAAATTCCAATTTTTGTGTTAGCCCAGATGTGTTGCGTTCTCTTTTACCACTTCCCGACCACAAATTGTATGTATATAGACAATCGGGTGACCTCTTACGCTGGCCAGTCATTTATAAATGTCATTGGTCACAGAGGGAATGCGTGCGCCAGATGCACTCCCAATGCCTGTAATCATGCTGCCATTGGACAGCACAGATCACAGGTGAGCCATACATGGAGCCAGTCAGAGAGGCTCTTTACCTTGTGTTTGCTGTGAACCAATCATAGTCATCACAAGTTTAAACACTGGCTGTGGTTACATATATCCAACCCTACCCTTCCTCTCACAGTGGTGGACTGAAAGAAGGAGAGAAAGGATGGAACAGGAAAAGCTGAAGTTTATATTCATTCAAGGTGGAGGGTTTTAAATTTCCATTGGCCACCAATTATGTGTGATTTTGTTTTTGGTTAGGGTTTGGTTAGTTTAACTTGCCATTGACCACCATTGACTGTGGGATTGTTTATTTTAAAATTAGGGGTAGGGGCTTTTAAATTGCCACTGTTCGCCAATTGTTGGGGGGGGAGGGGGGATTTTATTCCTAACAAGTATTGCTACTAATCATAAATCTTTTGGGGGAATGCAGCACACCATGGCCACATTCACTTTTTGACTAAACACCTCTGTTTTGATACAGTGCCAACACAAAGTTTAATGCTAGGAAGGAACTCTGATCATTATTTAATAGAAATGAATATACACTATATTGCCAAAATATTGGGACACCCCTCCAAATCATGGGATTCTGGTGTTCCATTACATTTCCTTGCTACTTAGTATTCTGCAGTCACCTGTTAGTGGTATTATAACAAAGTGGAAGCAACTGGGAACAACAGCAACTCAGCCACCAAGTGGTAGGCCACGTTAAATGACAGAGCGGGGTCAGCGCATGCTGAAGCGAACAGTGCGCAGAAGTCGCCAACTGTCTGCAGAGTCAATAGCTACAGACCTCCAAACTTTGTGTGGCCTTCAGATTGGCACAACAACAGTGCGTAGAGAGCTTCATGGAATGGGTTCCCATGGCCGGGCAACTGCATCCAAGCCTTACATCACCAAGTACAATGCAAAGCGTCGGATGCAGTGGTGTAAAGCACGCCGCCACTGGACTCTAGAGAAGTGGAGACGTGTTCTCTGGAGTGATGAATCATGCTTCTCTGTCTGGCAATCCGATGGACGTGTCTGGGTTTGGCGGTTGCCAGGAGAATTGTGCCAACTGTAAAGTTTGGTGGAGGGGGGATTATGTTGTGGGGTTGTTTTTCAGGGGTTGGGCTTGGCCCCTTAATTGCAGTGAAAGGAACTCTTAGGACATCAGCATGCCAAGACATTTTGGACAATTTTATGCTCCCAACTTTGTGGGAACAGTTTGGGGATGGCCCCTTCCTGTTCCAACATGACTGCGCACCAGTACACAAAGCAAGGTCCATAAAGACATGGATGAGCGAGTTTGGGGTGGAGGAACTTGACTGGCCTGCAGAGAGTCCTCACCTCACCCCGATAGAACACCTTTGGGATGAATTAGAGCGGAGACTGCGAGCCCGGCCTTCTCCTCCAACATCAGTACCTGACCTCACAAATGGTCCAACATTCCCATAGACACACTCCTAAACCTTGCGGACGCCTTCCCAGAAGAGTTGAAGCTGTTATAGTGGCAATGGGTGGGCCAACTCAATATTGAACCCTACAGACTAAGACTGGAATGCCATTAAAGTTCATCTGCGTCTAAAGGCAGCCGGCCCAATACGTTTGGCAATATAGTGTATATTAGAAATTAAAATATGTTAGAATTGAAAGTTACATGCTAGCAATCTCAAACTTTTGGTTGATTATATAGTAACAAATAAAAAGCCAGTGGTTATTAAATACCACCAAAAGAAAGCTCTATGGACCCTTTCACATGATCCGTGCACTGATCCTCTCCTGATCAAAGCAGTACAGAGCTGCTGTGACATGCGCGTCCGTCCATTTTTTTTCCTCCATCTTGCAATGAAAACTGAAATTACGAGACCCCATGTGTCAGAGCTCTGATCCGTTTGTTTTTCCGGACCTGGCTGGAGTTGGGGGTGACCAGGTGTAAACGGACGCTGGACCGTTTACACACGGCTGCCCATAGACTAACAACTTGGTCCGCCTGAAAAACTGACAATCAGTGAAAGGGGCCAATCTGTCTGAAAATAAATATATAATGTATCTGAGTACACTATTGCATGGCCGAGTAATTGTCAAAATATCACAGCACTGAAAACTGAAAATGGTCTGGAAAGAAAGGGGCTGTAGCATGATGGTATTGAGGTTATTGAGACTGCAGTAGGCAGTTTGAGACGGCTAGTCCTGCTTGCTGTTACTGCTATTGGCCAGAAAAGCCTCATCTGTGCCACTTTCTTGTTCAGTTTCTATACTGGGACATGACTTGATCTTACTTTATGGAGAAGACCTACTAACTGCCATCATCCTATCCAAGGAGAGCACCCTTACTGTTCACTATGGTAGTGTCATTGGAATAATAGGAAGTAGCTGGCTGGGCTTAGTCATGAAGTCATGGAAGAGGCATTTTTGGCTAATAAATGTAATGGCTTTTAGAAAACTTTTATATGGAAGGCATTTTACCTGCAAGAAATACTATAAAAAATGTATTTCATAAATGCCAGCCTGGAATAAACTACATTGGATTCTACTCCGCGTCTTCTTGGTGAGTTGACACTGCTTGTGGATTTTGTTGAGTCAGCAAGTTGCCATATTGTTCAAACAGACTGACTGGGACTCTTGGAACACAGGCTCACTTTCACATGCTACGGTAAACATCCCCTAAAAAGCAGGTTCAGTTCTCTTATTATTCCATGGCAAAATATGCTTTTGTTTCTGTTGTACAATAAGACATCGCTATTAGCACAGAATACATCATGAGCAGCATTTTTATTACCAAAGTACAAAAAAACACAATATACTTTTATGGCTTTAGAAAGACACCGTTACTTGTAAAATTTCAACCTTCCTTCTTTGGCTAACGCAGCTATGAGTTCAGACTCAAACTCGGCATTGTGCACCCCGGTCCAGCGGAAAGCTCCTGGAAACTTGTTCTTTTCCCAGTAGTGGTGCCAGTTTCCATTCCTGTCTGCACCAAAACCGAATACTGATATCTAAGGAGGAAGAAGTAAGAAGACCGGAATCAGCACAAGAAATCGACAAGTAGCAGCAAAAGAAAAACAACTGAGACTCCAGCTTCCACTTTAACTGATCTTTACAGTAATCAATTTATATTGGTACCAATAATTCCTCCTACCCCTATCCCTGCAGCCTCTCCCCCCAAGGCTCCAGCGGTCTAAGGTCCCGTGAGTCATCATGTCTAATTCAGTATATTAGACGTGAGGACACTGAGACACATTTCATTGTCAGCCAGGCGGGATCGAGGCTTGAGTGAATATATCTTCTTTATTCGGTCCCCTAGACAAAAATGAGCAGTTAAACCTTGCAGTGCGGGGGTAGTCCCACTGCATAGGTTCAAAATTTTGTTTTGATACAAGCATTCCATTGCTAGCTTTTTTACAAATCTTGGCAATCTTAGAGGTGTGCTTCGTCTTGTCCTTTAAGTCTCATCTCCATGCCATTTGATTACCCTTATTATCGAACTCTGCATTATTTCAAACTATGGTGTCATCATGCCAGTGCTACAATTGCTAAATATTTTAATTTGGTATGCAGAAGAGGGTGACAGGCATCATGTAGAAAGACCATGCATGCATACTTCATAGTAAAGGCTTCATTTATAAAAGAGGGAGATCTAGGGGCGCTAGTGTCGTGCGAACAGCATCCACCCGGCTATAGGCTAGGCAGAACTTATATAAATAAACCCTTAAAAATACTGGAATGTTAATCTTTAAAGTATATGTAAACCTCAACAATTAACTTATTGTATTTGCTTCCTTTTGGTCTCTTAAATATGCCATTGGAAGTGTTTTGTTATATCTATTATATCCAGTGGCGTAACTATAGCCATAGCAGCCTAGGCGGTTGCTGTGAGGCCCGGAGTTGGAAGAGGGCCCCATTATGTTGTTGAGACAAATCGGGCGGAATGCACTGTGGCTGGTGGGAACAAGCCCTAAGCTGTGGAATGACTGTGGAGTTTTTTTACACCCTAAATAATTATGCAGCTATGCTGTCATTGCACCTACTCACCTCATCACATATATGTAGAGAAAAGAAGAGGGCCAGCATTCCAGTGGATGGATATCTCCCGTGATGATTAGTCCAATTATCATGGATGTATTTGAAAAAAGCTGGATTAAAGATTAATACCTAAAAAAAAACAAAAAAAAAACATAAATTGAATTTTAACCCCGTAGTTATTATGCAGACACACATTTAAGTGTATAATGTGCATTATATTTTCTTGGAAAAGATTTGACTACATTGCAATCTACATTAAAAAGTCAACTAAGTTCTATAGTCTATAGTACTCAGATTCGACATCAAGCACCACTGACAGTCAGCTGATCCATGTGTCCTGCACCTCTTCCAATCACTGCATGGCATTTGCTACTGCTGGAGCAGAAAACAAAATGTATATTTGGCCACAAGTGAAAGTGAGGGCTCCTATTGTCCTGACGCGATTTAGACAAAATTGCAAGATTTAGGCAAATTTTCACCATTATGGTGAAATGCATGTTATTCCAAGATCATGGCTGCTGCTGCTGCCATGATCTTGGTATCGTTTTTTTAGAGCAGGTGGAGGGCTTTTGAGTACAATTGATCTGGGCAGTTATGGCACTGCCCAGAACCATGGAACCATGGCAAATGCACTCAGGATGGAGAACAGGGGCAGATAAAGCAATGCCTGTTCCCACATCTGCGCTATTATCACTGAAGCAGGAAGTGATGTGCTCTAAGCGACTTCTACTTCAGAGCTGTCAAAAGTGACAGTATACAGTACAAATAATAATCAAATACACACATAAAAGAAAAAAAAACACAACACAAATACAAAGAACGTTACATGAACTATCTATAATATCCCTAAAAACCCCATTCTCTACAAGAAAAAAATAAAAAAGTGTGATGTATCTATCAAGTTTGCTGAAACCTCTCTGCTCATACCTAATGGCCATATCCATGAAAGCCCTGTTATAATGTATTGTTATTCAGTTTTTTAGGACTCACCTTGCCCTTATCAGCTTGAATATACTGCTTGACCCTTGTATATGTACTGGAAAGAAAAATAAAAGTAAGCTATATTACGAGTCAATCATATACTGTATCAATAGTAAATGGACAGTGAGTTCTATTGTACCATATACTCCACTATTCTGGGAGAGCTTTCCCCAAGAGTTTGGAGTGTCTGAGGGAATTTGTGCCCATTCAGTCAAAAGAGCATATTTCAGGACTGGTACTGATGTAGGTTGAAAAAGCCTGGCTCATAATCAGCATTTCAATTTATCCCAAAGGCGTTCAGTAGGACTGAGGTCAGGGCTCTGTGCAGGCCAGTTGAGTTCCTCCACACCAAATTCATCTAACCATGTCATTATGGAGCTGGCTTTGTGCACAGGGGCACAACCCTCCCTCTTCCAAAATTGTTCCCGCAATTTTGGAGGTGCTCAATTGCCTAGATTGTCTTTGTATGCTGTAGAATTGATAGTACCCTTCAGTGGACACACTGTATGCAATAATTTGGAGGAGTCTCCACATACTTTTGGTTATATAATGTAAGTGTGATGGACAGTCAGGTGTCCAGAAACATTTAGCCATATAGAGAAAAAAAAAATAGTATAGAGTAGGGATGCACCAATACCGTTTTTTCAGTATGGAGTACGAGTACCGATACCCTGTGCCCTGATTATCAGGAAGTTGGGCAGAGGATCATGACCTGTCGCCCAGGTTCCTGATTGCCTGGGAAGCCGGTGTTCTATCGAGAGAACACCGCCTTCACTTGCTGAGGCTGTCTGAGGTCCTGACCAATCAGAAAGCCGGGAGGCGAGTCATGACGTGCCACCCAGCTTCCTGATTGGTTAGGAAGCCAGGCTGCATGCCAACAAGTGAAGCTGGCTTCCTAGCCAATCAGGAAGCCGGGCGGCACGTCATGACCCGCCTTTCTGATTGGTTAGGAAGCCAGGCTGCCTAGCAACAAGTGAAGCCGGCTTCCTAGCCAATCAGGAAGCCGGGAGGTGGGTCATAACCCTCCCTCGGCACTGCCGCAAAGAGGGAGATTTCCCTCTGACCGGTAGTTCCGGTATCGGGAGGAAAGTATCGGAGCATTTGGGCAAATACTCGGTATCGGCACTAGTATCAGTACCTGAGTATATAAGCCTCTGCCTGAGTCCGTATCTGCCCAATTATGTCCATATAAGTATAAAACAATGTCATTTGTTTTTTCAGGCTCTCCCCCTTTATAAACAGAATATTAGGACCATCCTAATTAGAAAAATGGGAAAAGACTGAAAATACACATAACGCTAAGGTCCCTGGTAAAAATCTATCCATTTATTCCTAATGTAACCAATCAGGAAGCCGGGAGGTGGGTCATAACAGTCGGTAATCAATGGCTTAATTGCTGGATACGTACAACTTAATCTCTCCTGTGGACAGAGCACTGGTAATCCACCTAAGGTCTTGCAGTTTGAATGGCACCAGTACTAGATGGACCCCATGTGGAAGGTGCATAGCACTTTCTGGATACATAAAATGATGAGTGGTTCTGGAGCCCACATCTTCTTCAAATCCGGAAGTGAGAGCTCTGTTCATTCTAAACAAAAATAAAAAATAGCCGATGGTTAGGAAGGAGTCACAGAAAGGCATATTAACAATTCACAGGGTTTACCATAATGGAGTCTGTAGGCAACAAACCTTTAAGTGCCCAGTTCTACTCAAAATCAAGAATTGTCCCAACTGCAAATTAAAGGTAACGGTTTGGTTGGCAGACACAAAATATAAGCATTCATGTTCAGAGAGTTTAGGGTGCAGGGATCACACAAGCCAGCCAAACCCCCCCCCAGTAGAGTCCTTAGTCTTGTCTAGACTCCACATTGTGGCTTTAAAGCAAGCCTGTAATTGAAAAAAGCTGTACATATAATCAAAACTTTTTTTTAGCTTTAGATAGAGTAGAGAATCATTTAGACCCATGCCAGATTTTTTTTTTTTGTTGGATCAGGGAGTTTTTTTTATTCACTTCCCAACCCTACACCCTATTCCTCAGTCCAGAACACACAGCCATGTATTGCCCACTGAGTTCTTGTTTATCTCATCCATATCAGCCTCCCATCTGGTTCCAGTTATAGCACAAGATGAGACTTTTGGCCCCATGTACAGGAATCGTAAATTGCACAGACAAGCCTAGATGTGTTTTCCTGGCATGATGAAAGAAAGCAATGTTTAACATGATAACATTAATGTCACCACCACCCTCACTGTTTATTCCCCCCGCAGGCATGTGTCTAGAAAACATAAGGGGAAGCTTATCTCTAGCTTCCAGTATAATCGGAAAGGCGACTGAAAACTGCAGGCATCCCCAGTATGAACTCCTTTTGCACAGGGCTAGGCAAACTAAGCACTCTAGCTGTTGTGGAACTACAAGTCCTATGAGGCATTGCAAGACTCTGACAGCCACAGGCATGACTCCCAGAGGCAGAAGCATGATGGGATTTGTGGTTTCACTACGGCTGGAGTACCGAGGTTGCCTACCACTGCTCTAGCAAGCTCATTTTTAGTTTGTCATATGCTGGTCGAATTTTGTCCCAGTCAGCAGGAAATATTACCAGAGTATGGCCCCATCGGGACCCCTGGTCTATTTTTCAACTTATGTCGAAGGAGCCGGTCCAAAAACTCTTGGCAAAACAGTGACTACAGCCAATCAGGTTTAGTCACTCTTTGGATATCCTGACAGCAGCACAACACACTGCTGAATCCAGAAAACAATTGCTCACTGGGGTGGGGTGGGTTAGGTGGGGATTCCCCCATAAACAGTGTTCACAGGTCTGAACATAAAACCCCCAGTGTATGGCCAGCCAGGGGTGTAACTAGAAAACATAGGGCCCCATTTTTATGGGGCCCTGTGATTTCTAGTTATGCTCTTGCAGAGCCCACCTGAGATCCCAAACTGCCCACCTGAGAGTGACCCTGCAGAGTCCGCCATAGACTCTCTATGGTGGGCTCTGCAGGGTCTCAGGTGGGCTGGTCATACCCTCTTACCTGTCAGCCCCGATCAGCTGTCCGCCTCCATGGTCGCTGGCAGGCTCCGTTGCCGGGCCCTGCCTCCTCTTCCGTCGCCGGTCCCCGCCTCCATTTCCATCTTCGGCCCCGCCTCCTATTCCTGACTCAGCAGAGGCTGTGAGGAGCAACGCGCCGCTGCACAAATCGTTGACAGGTTGTCGGTGATCTAACAGCGACACGTTCCTCCTCACTCATACCCGCCAGTGACAGCCAGCAGCCTGAGATGCCACAGCAACCCAGGTGGCCCGCACAGCATCAGGGGGATGTCCTGGCTGGGCCCCCCTGTGCCCCGGGCCCCTAGCGGCCGCGATTGTTACGCCACTATTTTCCTTGGAGTTAGCAAAACCCTATTTTTAAAGTAATACGTTAATAGCAGTTTTCTGAAAAATAATTATCTTATATATAGAGTGGGGGGAATTTACAAAAACTGGAGCAGACACAATCTAGAGCAGATGTGCATGGTAGCCAATCAGCTTCTAGCTTTCATTTTCAAAACTTAACTGAACAAACTGAAGAGAGAAGCTGATTGGTTGACATGGGCAACTGCTCCAGATTCTGTCTGCTCCAGTTTAATTAAATTCCCCCAGGATATACAAGGGGGGAATTTATCACAACTGGAACAGACAAAAACTAGAGCAGCTGTGCATGGCAACCAATCAGCTTCTCTCTTCAGTTGGTTCAGTTAAGGTTTGAAAATGAAAGGTAGATGCTGATTGGTTGCCATGCACAGCTGCTCTAGATTTTGTCTGCTACAGTTTTCATAAATTCCCCTCAAGATGTTTTGGGTGGAACGCCTTCACAAACACATAAAAGCACATTTTCATTATTGATCAAAGAAGGAAAGGGATGAAAAAAAATCCTGGACAGACACAAATATTAACATTATGATTTCTCATTTTATGTCATTTTTCCTCCTCCAACATCTGGTGACTATTTAGGAAGGGTGCGCCCTGCTGTGAAATATAAAAACCCTTTCCATAATTAACATTTGGATTTCAGTCGACAACCATAATTATAATGAATGCCAAGTCTGGAGGAGACGGTTGCAGCTAAGCCAACGTTTCCTTTCACAGAGGAAGGTTTCCTGGATAATGAAGGTCCATCTTACTTTAAAACTGAACTTAAAGTGGCGTTAAAGTCAATTTATTTTTCCCTCCCCCCAATGTTAATTAAAGCACTTACCTTAAATGATGTCTCTTAATCCGATCTTCCTCTTCTTTCCTGTTTTTTTCAGCCTTCTCTCCAGCGCTGCTGCGGTTCTCCGATCCATCGCTGACTCCTCTCCTTGCTGGGCACTTCCTGTCCCACTTTGTCTGCATTGGGTGCACGCGTCCATAGACTTATCTTGTGTCTCTCCTCGCGTCCCGGCCAAAAATCCGAACTGTGCATGCGCCCGCCCCAAGATGCTTTGCGGCCGAGCAGCTTTGGATTTTCGGACGGGAGCGCGCGGCGAAGACAACTTTTAAAGCATTTTTAAAAAAAACTTTTTGCATATATGTACTGCTTGCTATCCATAGATATATGCAAACAAAAGTGAGGGTTTAGAAACCCTTTGAAGTGATAATAAAGTGCAAAAGGTTTTTAGCCAGTTGACATCCGCGGTGTTAAACCCCCTTCCCATCCAGGCCATTTTTCAGTATTCAGCGCTGTGGTACTTTGACTGACATTTATTCCATCATGGAGCGCTGTACTGAAATTAATTTATACCCTTTTTTGGGACAGATAGAGCTTTCTATATATAATGTTGGGGGGTTTTATGTCATTTTCAGGCCTAAAATGTGGAATATAACATGGGTGCAAAAAATGAAAAAAGGGCCTCAGTCATGAATTGGTTAAGGAAAAATTACCGAATTAAAAAAAAAAAAATCTGTTTCCCCTATATTAAATGATAAAACATTTATTATTACCCAATTTTTTGGTAAAATATAAAAGACGGGGTCACGTCGGGTAAAAGTTGGGTGAAGCTAGCCTCTCTGCTAGCTCCGCCCAATTGTTTCTTTCTTTTTTTCAAAAATAAATTATTTTTCAATAATCTTTCATTTTTTTCTTTTAAAAAAAAATATTTATTTCTTTTTTTAAATTTGATCATTTATTTACATTTGTAAACATTTCTTCTGCTTTCTTTCTTTTTTTTCAACTTTTTTCACTGTTTTTTTATTCTGCTCGGTACAACTATTCACTCACTGCCGTTCGGCCCATATGAGAATAGGCCGAACGGCAGCTAGTAGCCTGCCAGAGGTTCAAGGCTGGGGGCAGGGAGGCCTACCTGTGTTGCTTAACTGCAGAAGATGGAACTAAGGTCACCAGGATGGCTACACTGTCTATCTGGGGTTTTAAATCACAGAACTGGATAGACAGAAATATCAATTCTTTGGCAGTTAAGGCAGCTTCCACATACTTTATGTATTTCAATATTGTACTTAGATATTTGCCTGTAGTTTAGGTTTAAACACTCTAGGATAAGCTAGGATAAGGATAAATGTCATCTGAATACAAGACACGTGTATTCTTACTTGAATCATGGCATGCTTTGTGCATTTCTGTGCAGTGATCTAGTGTGAAACTTTGCGGAGGAGCTTCCTGTAATAAAGACCGGTTACTGCTGCTCTCTTTTCCTTATGCAGGGTGACTGGTCTTGTCTCCGCCCCCTCCTGTAGTTTTCTGGGCCTGCTGGGCCCCTTCCACAGCTCTGCTCTCTGTGCAGGCTTAGCAATGTCACTGCTACTGGGTTTGAAAAGGAACTTGGTACACACATAGTGAATTTATATTCTTTTTTGCTACTGAGGAATATACTTAAATGAAAGCTTTAAATATAAACAATATGTATGTATGTGTGTGTGTGTGTGTATATATATATATATATATA